AGGAATATGAGTTAGGTTCTTTAGCAAGCAAATATCTGTATTGTTCGCGCCATAAGTAGAAGCAAGTTTGTCGAGAAACCCAACTTTTCATGAGATATTTTAGTCAGCTTTTGATTACTGCTTGCTGATCAAAAATTATTTTAAAGGAAAACTTAGGCTTACCTATTAAGCCACCATGGAAAAACAAAACAAAGGGAGATTTCGGCAAATTTCCAAAATTGATTCCAATGCGTAGCCACTGAAACTTTTTATAAAATAGATTCGCATTCGAGGTTAACTGTCAACTTTAACTGTCAACAAGAAAATTTTAATATTTGACGATTGCAATATACCAAAATGAAGACGACGACCAGTGGAAATGCAGACAGGAAAATAAAAATAGTTGAAACAATTCGCGGTGGCCGCTTTTCTGGTTCTCGAAACATATGCTTCAATTCCGGTGCTTTTTCGTAAATAATACGTTCGGATTTTTTGATTTTTGGAGCAGCTATTGCAGGAATTTTCAGATTAACATCTACCTATAAAAGCAGTTAAATAGATACAATCAACGTTCTTGCCTACTGCAAATACTGGCATTCCTAGCGTAATTGAATTAAGTTTTGTTTCGGCATTTCTAAGCCAACTGGAAAAATGCCAAGCTTTATATTTAACAAATATAATGCATATTTCGTATTCTCTAGCCAAATCTGACATCCATACCAAGTTCCAGTCTAAAGAATGCGATACTGCTGAGTCACCCACTATTAATCGTACTGCATATAGACCTGATAAACCTTCAAAATCTCTTGCAACTTTCTCGAAATCCTGAAAATTCAGGCAATAATTAGTGTCACCTGAACCAATTTCATGACGGTAAATGGTTTTGCTCGATTTATATTATGAAAAGCTTGATATAAAAAAAGATACAGCTATTTCAAGGCAAAAATTCAACGGTACCACGTCAAATATGTAATTATGATTGTGATCCGATGTAGCAACAAAGATAATTTCTTGACGGGTGTTACTATGAACAAATACTACGAACGCTTGATGAACCAATAATGCTTCACCAGTTTTTGCTTCTTTAACTTTAAATCTGATCTCCATCTTACTGTGTACGTCAATTTCCAGAATTTTTCCTATCTTTGAACTCTCTTTAACTCTGAAAGTCACGAAATATAGTTTCAATTCTTTTCAAATTATACTCGTTTTCTTTCTTTTTAATAAACAAACTTTAAAATAAGAATAAAATGCCCTATTCACTTTTATTAATTACAGAACAGGGATGAATTTTAAAAAATTGAATTCGGGTTTAACGCTAATTCTTTAATAATAACGAAACATACAAAATCTTGAAACAAATTCGAATATTACAAACAACGACTTGATCCAACATTCTAATACTTACGAAATGGATGACGATGGCTTCAGAAGTTCGCGATCAAATACCGCCACTGCGACATCCTCCACTTGCATTTTTACAAGTACCCTCATTGCCAGCGATGCACCATTTGTTCCAACCAAACGTTTATCCTGAAGAATAAATAAAATCAGTGCTCGGAAAAAAAGCACTAATCGTTAAAAGTTCGGGATAACACCAGAATTGAGTTTTTTCACTTCCTCAGGAACGTTAGTTTTCTCATTATAGTGTAATTCTTTAAAAGCCTTCATTACCAAGAATTCAAAAATATGATGTCCATATCAGATTCTCCCAGTTAAATCTTCCAATTTCAATAATTCTGTTGTGTAATGCAATATGAAAGATTACTTGACTTCCAGCGGATAGGGCGAGATTGTAAAATCCACGTTGCTTGGCATTTTTAATATATACTTCATACAATGTATTAGTTTTATCAGATGAAACTTTTTTTAACTGTTGTCGTACAACTGCAATTTCTTTGGATGCTACATGTGTCACTGCATCCAAAATGACTGACAGTGGTCCAACCGATTCGCCCAATACATTCGAAACACGAATTACCAAAGGCTTCAATGAATTTTCAGTGCAAATAATGATAATTTAGATAAAAAATTGGTAGAAGCTTAATAGCATTATCATATACCAAAAGATACAAACCGATCTCACTTTTATATACCCGACGCTATAATCAATCCATTTTCTAAAAAAATCATGGCTGTATCAAAGCAAAAATATATCATAAATTTGAATATCACATATTTTTGATATGGACAAATTTCGAAAGTATAATTTTAATAAAACGATAAATTATGTTAACAATAAAAAGCAGTTAAATCTCCATTTTTTGCCTTAAAAAAATTATTGTCGAAAAAACAGAAATTTATTAGGAAATAAACTCACTTTGTCTGCATGTAGTAAGGACATGCTCGACGCCAGGGAAAATACAACTGGAATTTGGAAATGGTTATTTGAAAGCTTCTTTAATGATAATAATAAGAGATAAGCACCACGATCCAACTGCACAGCTCTACGACTAAGCAAGTAATTTGCTAATTTCACCGCTTCGTCCTAAAAGAGATTCATGTACTCAATTTAGAATCCATATTTTCTTCGCAGCTGAAGCTAACTTATGATTCTAAAATATCCTTGTGGAAATTACGGACAAATAATAACGGCATATGTTTTCTTGTTTTGTTGAGGTTTAAATAAAACTAACGCTTTTCACATTTGGTGACTTGTTAAGTTTATCAGCTAGACTGTAAATTCCATAAACGCCAAAAGCAGTGATTGACAAGCCACCTTCTAACTGCAAAGGTTTCATGTTATTAAATTTACTCACTTTTCCAATGAAATTCTTCGTCTCTTCCCTTCATGTAACTTTATATCTATTGCCTCTTTTACTACAGTCATATAAGTAAAATTATGAAACTTACATGAAGATACCTGCCATCCACTTCATCAGCTTGACCAACCAAATCTTCAATACGTATGAAGAACTTTGCAGCGTTGACGTTATCTAATAAAGCTGCCGCGTTCAACCCATATGCAAGACTAAAAATATAATGTGATATAATAATAGCAGCGCAACTAAATGTTAGCGAAGTAAGAAGAGAACATTAATTCAACGCAGTTCTATTATCTAGCAAACTTAGGAAATTCCAAAATAAATTAATGAAATCACTGAATCTTTATATAAGTTTCAAGGGTTCAAGTTAAGAGTTTACTCTCTCAAGTTATAAAAATGGTGTCGTGAGAATATTTCAATAAAACTGTCATATATATATCAAACTCTATATCAAGTCATCGGGTGATTAACTAACAGTAGATGAATTTCTAGATAATCTGTTAAGTATCACTAAGGAGCCAATATCACATTCTGTATCAAAATTGAAAAGAAACCTAGGAGCGCTATCATCATTTGTCAATGCAACAGTTAAGGCTTCAGAAAAACCACCATGGTTTACTTTCAACTTCAATTTTTTCGCAACAGCAAGCGCCAAATATATGTTGTGAGAAGTTGGAGAATCTTCTCTCAGTATTGCTTCAACAGTTCCTTTAGCATTCGGTACGGAAAGCGAACAATCATCCAGAGCAGCCGCAGCACTAACTGCGTGATATAGTTGCTCTAATTCTTCACCATTTACTTTTTTAACTATATTGCAGAGAGCCTGTAAATTGCATGAGCACTAATGGATAATGATAACAAAAGTTCGGTGAATGAAGACTCTTTGCAGATTTATTCATGTCTAATATAGGAAACCTTATAACAAAAAAAAAACCAAAGCATCTTAAAATTACTTTGTTCTTGTCAGCTTCAATCGGCATGCCTGCGAGTTTCAAGCCAGCTGCACCATGATGTATAGCAGATAATTCCTAAAACGACTGGAGAATGTATGTTTGTATTAGAATATAAATAATCAACTTGGATGCAACTATAAACATTATCAGCTTGAATTTTCTAAATCACAAATTGATAGCATTTTTATTCTTAGAACTAAACTAATATAAAGATCGTCCTCAAAGCACTGATAATAATGGACGGGTAAGATCAATGTTTAGCCAGAACTCGATTCAATTTGCGATTCAGAAAGTTCAAATTGCTTTGTCTATGACGTACAAGTAAATTCGTTATATTATTACGAAAACTGTTTTAATTTTCATAAAATCCTCGTTTCTTCTAAGGTCCCAGCTATAAATATCACACAAATTGTTCTAAACTGCCGTCATCTTCCGAGCAAAGAATCTCTATATTGTATTTAAACTATAATACGGATGCGAAGTAAAAAAACACATTAGATTTTTACGACTCGAAAAAAATTGAAAAATCAAACGTTGCTATTAAGAGCATTGGTTAGAACAGCATGTAATGACTTCTGACTTCGTTCATCCAAATAAACGTTTAAAAATGGTGTTGCACATTCGGCTACGAAAAGAAATAAGGATAAAGTGATAAGCGATGCATACCATATTCGTGTCGTGCTCATTAAAATTCTGTAATTTGAAAACGCTCAGTTCTCAAGTTTTAGACTGCATTTGATTATTATTCAGTGAATTTTGTTTAAAATCCAACGAAATTTATATTTGGCACGCAAATTTTGATGTAACATTTTATCCAGCCCAGCACTTCTAACTTCACAGTTTAAAAATTTGTTGAGAATGCTAAAATTTAAAGTTAAATTCCGAAAGTCCCCACTAATATCTCCCAACCAAGAACGAAATTTAAAAAACAAACGACACGTCGAACCCCTTTGTCCAATAACACCATGTGATTCCTCTAAGTTTAATGCAAAATGGAGAGATTTCATTATGCAAATGTATGATCTCGTAACAATCGACTTAGAAAAAACCACCAATTGCCAACGAAAATACGTAAAACCAAACTATTAGTTTTTAGTTAATCAGATTTGGCAATTTCAAAACTTACTCAACTTTAATAGCAATTTTAATTCCGAATTATTCACTACCACGCTCCAAAAATTGGATCAAAAAAAATCTAAAAAAAATTTCTTTTTTTTGCAAAACTTTATCAAAAAATCTAAAATTTTTGCGAAACTTTTTTAAAAATTGAAAACTAAGTTTTAAATCATATTTCTTTCTACTTCCGCTTGTACTTCGTCTAATAATGGATAAGAAGTAATTGAATAAGTAGTTTTTGAAAGAACTCTTTCATTCGAAAGGACCTTATTTCAATTTGGGAAAGTTTACGAGTTCTAAGTCATCAAAAGACTCACTGTACATTTGGCAAGATCTAAGCCTTATCTCGTACTTCAAAGCTGCTATTAAAAACATTGAAAAGTTTCAGAATGATTTTGCTCAGTACTTTTATTTTCTGCACTCTTACTTTCAACTTGTTTCAGATAATGAAATTTGAAAACAATTAAAAGACTTTTTGTACTTTTAATTTGTCTTAATAATACAAAAAACATGAAAAAAGCTCTCTTTCTCGAAAAACTTAAAGGCAAAAAAAAGTTGATCATTTTCAGCAGGAAGGAAAAAAATTGTGCTTTGCAAGAGTTTTATCTGTGACATAAGTGCTGAAGAAATTTTTTTGTTATTGACCATTGAACTTTGAACAGAACTAAATATTTGGCTTTTCTTGGGAAATGTCACAGGAAAGTGACGAGAGCTTCTTATCTCTTATATCTTCTTCAAATCACTTACACAGTTGTTTCCCGATGAAATACAATCTCCTTCCTTTTCCTCTTCGAACAAATGCTATGAACCACTACTTCGTCCTTTTTGAAATTTTTGATGCTTTTTTTTTTTGGATTAGCATATGACAGAAAGGTTGTGGAATGGTAAGCTCTGAAAAGTTTTAAACTAAAGAGTGAATCGAATCCATATGATGGTACTATTATCACTGCTACTATATTCTTTGATGTGTGATATTCTTCGCTCGGAACTAACAGATCTGGTTGCTCTCACACTGAGTAATGGTACCATTGAGGAGTCGAACTCGACCTTTTTAAGGTTTCCATCTGTCATATTGCTCATTTTTCATGAAATTATCTTAAAAATGATTCAAATTATAATCAATGCTTGAATGATAACAAAACAACTGACATCATTCATCCTTCCTTGTTCAGGCTTGGTAATCACACATTCAATGAAGGGCCAACTGATCATGCATTATATTTAAATGGGTCGATAGGATTGCGGTTAAGTACTCCGTTATGGCAAACTTTTGCAAGCAATATGCGTGTCGCGTTTACGCTGGAAATATGGATACAAATAGAAGGTGGACAACCGGATTCGGTTACCATAATTGGTATGTTTCTTACATCTCTCCATCAATTCTTCTCCGATTATAATTTAACGTGAATTAGTTGGTTAAAATAGTTGAATAGTCTCATGTCATCTTTGAGAGGATTAGCCATATTCGACTTGCAGTAATCATTGTTATCATGTCAGAAGGATAAGAGATTGTAATTAGTTTGTCAAGAGAGAAAGAAAATTTTGTAATTTAATATTATCAAAGCAAGTTTAATGATCGTTTGTCGCCAATTCTTAAAATTTCAAAGCACTTATTGACATATGTGGGAAAGAGCGAGATGCAATAACATGGAGGATTTCAATAGAAACGGATTTTAATGGTGAACATGGAGCTTGTCTGGCGGTATCATTGATTCCGGAATTAACACTTGAACAATATCATATCAGGTCATTCACTTACTCGCTTTATGGTGTCTTCTGGACTAATCACTTTAAAGGATAAGATAAAAGCATTCCATATCAACCAAGTAGAATCAAGCGATTCTATTCTCTTTAATTGTTGACTTCCTAAAATTCTACTTCAGAAGTGTTCGATTATTTGTGACCTGCAATCAAAATTGGAAAAACTTGTGTAGAAACATCGTAAAAACTTGAGTTAACAATTATTTAAGGAATGGAAAAACCCATCGTCTTGGTGAATGGATTCAAGTAGCAGTGGTATTTGACTCGCATCAACTTTTATTCTACGTGAATGGAGCACGTGTTGGTAAATTGGTACGTGAGGTAATGCTTTTCATCCCATTCATATCTGATAACTTGATAACACAGTTGTCTTTTATCAGCAGAGTACAATTCAATCTGTTCTTTAAAAAAATTAAATCACTTCTTCCCAATTGTAGACTTCTCAAAATTCTGACCCCAGAAATTATTCGTGATCTGAAATCAAGTGAAAAAACTTGTGCAGAAAAGCTTCAGATTTGTACATGTAATTTGTGTATTTATAGAGCCTAAATTTCCTAATTTCATTGCAATTTCTTTATCTAACATGTCGCAATCAGTTATGATTTTTCAAACTTCCAAACATCCAGAAATTTTTGCAGTTTGGTGCTCTTTATTCGGAAATTCGCAGTGCATGCAAAAGATTGTATTTGGCGACGGATGGGAACCGATTTAGTCGTGATGAAGTCATCGGATTTCGAGGTTACATTAGGAAATTACGCATAACGGATCGTTTTATGAATCATTCCGCCCTAATTCGAGAACAATGGCAAGGAAATGTCATTGAAGAAAACTTCGCAGATATCCATCAATGGAAACACCTCGGTATTGACCACTGATTAGCACTTCCTCCTATCGAAACTTCTACCTCAAAAATCAGATATGATTTTTGAAATGATATGTTTGTCACTGTTACTGATAGCAGACTTATAGGTGTAATGTTAATGATTATCAGGGAATGATTTGGGTATGCGAAAGCAAGAAATCCCGCGGAAAGATACACCACAAAATATAGAAATACCTCGTTGTGGCCAAACTGCTTGCGATAATCCGACGGTAGTGAACAATTACTTGCGTCATTGGAATTTGCATGCCATGAAGAAGTTGAAGTATCGAGTAGTTGTGATTAGCGATGATGATGGAAGGTAAGGTTAACTAACTGCTTGATTTGAGTCGTCTCTTAACTTCCTCGCCTCTACTATTTTCCTTTTTTCCAGTAATTAGAAACTAATTAACAGGAACTTAAAAGAAAAAAGTGATTAACAAAAACTACAGAAGCGATAATTACGGCTTTGAAATGTCTTTCGATAGTTTCACTTTGCTCTTTTGTGCTTATGGAAGACTAGAAATAGTGAAGAAAAAGTACAAATAGTTAGATAAAGTAGTATGAAGGAAACCAAGTAAAGAGTAACAATCACTGCCTTTCGGTTGTGAAATGTAAATTATTATTAAATAGGTCTCATTGAATTTAAATTATTATTAAATAGAACCCCATTCATTTGCAGTAATGCAAATATAAGGACAGATTCCATCATGCGACAACATGTTGAACTTCTGAAGGCTTTTGCATCATATAACATTACGTGAGTTCAAAATCACTTTCCACAGATTATTTAAAATTAGTTTCCATATTTCTGTGTTGGCCATCAGTACTGTACTGCAGATGGGATCTTGAAGTGATCAATATCCGCAATACGTCGTTACGACGTAAAACTATTGTATTTGGCTGCCAATCATCAGCAATCGGCAATAAACGCTGTGACATCGAATGTCGCCATGCAATTACCGGTGATGATGGAGGTGATTGCAAGATTCAGGTATACCGATTTCATTACATTATCGTTCTCTGTCATTCGTCTTACAAGTATGTTAGGCTTTATAATGTTGAAAAGGTTTCCCGTACATTCTTAAGGGACAACTAAAACCTAAAATGGAATCTTTTAGACAACCGAACAAGTTTCTCTTTTCACTTCATTCTTTTTGTTTTTTTTGAACTTTTCATTAGGATCATTTCGCTGTTTTAATATTATTTTCCTTCTTTTGATTCACGAAACGAGCAAATGTGGTCGCTCCAAACTCGCTCCAAACCATTTCTTTTTGTCAGTAATGAAAAGAATTTAAAATTTAACAAACTGAGCTATTTGAAGGCCAAATGTGAAAGATGGATGCTTGGAAATAAGCAATGTGAATTGGAATGTAATAATCGTGAAAACAACTGGGACAACGGAGATTGCTGCACTGATTTCGCCCTCAGCGACAATCGATTCTGCATTGATCCCACTTCTATCTATAGGTCTGTTTATGGATGAACTTCGTGCTCTCATTTGACTATACCAAATTTTAAAGCTTCCTTGAGTTTAAACCGAATAATCTAAACAGTTAGAAACCGATTTCAAATGAGAAATTAAAGCGAACAATCTAACAGGCTAGTTTCAACAGCTCAATGCTAATATCATCAAATGAATTGAAGTTGTCCTTTAATTTTCAGATTTGAATTTTAATTCAATAATAAAACAAATTCAGACGTTATATCAGTGTCGAAGAATACAAAACAGCGGTTGGAATAGACAACGAAAATGGACTGACAGTGCAGTTTGGTGATTGGATTGCGAATGATTTGGTTGGCTTTTCAACATTTCCATGGGAAAAAGATGTTTATAGCAATCAAGGAGGAGTGCTACTTCGTTATGACCGTTTTGGGACACCTGGACAAATCAGTAATTTAATTCATGAAATCGGCCATATTCTTGGTCTCTGGCATGTTCATCACGGGATCAGTGAAGTACCATGTGGTGATCCATGTCATGAAAAAACACCTTCTATGGTGACCGGTAAGTTTTTTTTTCTTTTTCAATTAAATTGCATATATTTCTTGGAAGAATTCAGGGACTTTGTTCTAATTTGAAATAATAAGATAAAATAAAACTTGAAGGTGTTTCGACTTGATCTATCAATTTTACGCTATAGATCTATTATTTCAAATGAAATATAATGGAACAAATAGTAGCGCAGTTATTGACAGAGAAGTACTAGATTGAGATTGTATCCGAAGAACAAATGGAAAATATGGCAGTAGAAACAGTATTCCCCAGTTCTTGAAAATATCGAAGCAAATTAATAGGCATATAGGAAAGTAATCAAGTTATCTAAGCATAGATAACAAGTAAACAATGACCATATTGATGACTGACCACACTTTCTGCTTCGAATTAATTATAATTAGGCTGAGAAATGCAAAAACCATCCGGTCAAATAATTTTTATTTATGTTTCAATGTCGACTAGTCTAATAAATGGATCATTTTTTGTATGGTTCATTATAATTAATTGTTTATCTTCAAACTACAATAACACTATTTTTTAAAACACTCCATTAAAACTTTTCATATCATTTATCAATATTCACGATGAATTTCATTACCACGATGTGAAGTTTTCAAGATCCCGCCTTTCAATACTTAAGTCACCAGATTCTATATAAAATTACTTTCTCATTTGAGATCTTAACTACCGAAAGTACAATTGCTTCATGAAACGACATATGACATTTGAAGTAAAAGTTTTTCTTTTGACTCCTTTCAGCAGGGATCAGAGCTTTGGAAAGTTCCAAAAATTCTAACAAGAAACACCTGACACAATTTGGGAGAATCTTGCATCCCTATCGTTGCCTATTTGATTTTCAGGTGATATGGTAAGTGATACGAATCCAACGGTGAAGAATACAGCGTGTGCTGATCCAGAAGCAGTTGATCCATGTGATGCAACTCAACGATTTGGAAATACACCTTTTCGGAATTATATGAGTTACACAGGTGACCAGGAGAAAACAATACATGATTGGAATAGTACTTTATGTCATTTAATAACATAAATGAATTCGTCAACCATCTGTATAATTGCACAGAACTGTTCTTAGAAACTTTCGGTTTTTCTATACTACGTAACTTCTAGATGATAGTTGCGCCAACACATTCACTGCCCAACAAAAAGCAAGAATGCATTGTTATATCGATCTGAAATATACAAATTGGATGGTGCGTCCAACGCCGATCCCGACCCACATTGTCATCGGTCCACGGATCATACCATGGCCAAAAGCGAAATCTAAAGGCGTCAAGATTGTTAGTGATTATAGCTTACTTAAAATGATCAAGACTACACATTGCTTTATATCTAATCGAGGAGCATTTGTAGAAATCAACAGAAAAACCAACGGAAATTAATGATGAATATCTTTCCAGAAATCCGTTGAGGCACAGTTACAAATCATTCAAAAACAAGCTATAGAAAATTAATGATCACTTAATATTAAACAGTTGATAATAATTAGCTTTGTTACCACATGAATCATGCATATTTTATGACGGAAACGTTTAAAATAAGTGAACGAATGTTTGGTAACTTCTTTAGGTGTGGGCATCACCATTAAGCAGCATGAATTGCGGTCCACGACAGAAACGTGTGCGAGAAACACACTGCACCACAGATAAACGTGTGTTACAATATGCTACCTCAGCTAGTTCATCCGAACCATTCCAAATGTCAGGCTTTTGGGGTTCAGAACAAGCTACCGGTACGCTTTATCTCTTAACCACATTTCATTATGACAAAAGTTCTGTTTTCGTTTCACTTATGAAGTCATAGACTTTGTGATATTTATTGAAATCTTATCAAATCAAAACCATTTCTTTCAGAAAATATGATAAAATAAGAGCGCACATCATTTGCTCTCTTTTCTGGTACAAATAGTTTAGATTGCATTCTTGTTCACCTCCAGATATATTTCAGATATATTTCTAGTCCTTTTCTGCAAGTAGAACAGAACAATAAAAGATTTACCTAACACATTAAGCAATCGGATTCAGAGTGAAGCCAAGATCTTCAAGACTCTTGCAGTTTTCCATTTTCTTCAATTTATCCACTTGGTTTTTCACCTCTTCTCGAGTTATTTCAAGAGTCGTGTCAATAATCTTCATGTCATCTTCAATCATTTGCTTTGCGTGTTTGGTTTCAATCTTAAGGAATGTGGTACTTCCAAAGCATATCCAATCTTTACTTTTCTGTAAAAGAAAAGAGATGGAAGCTGTGTTATTTCATCGATAATCTTCTTATAGAAAATAGTTTTTTTTTAACGTCACCAATGCTGATTTGAACCTTTCGGAACATTTGTCCGATCATATTCCAATCTCTGTCATAAAGTGCTTGGTTATTTTCCAGTGTAATCCGTCTACATTTTCAGACACTTTTGCTGAACATTACTGTTTCCTTCGTAAAAACGGGAAAATCATGTTGTTAAATAACCTTGTTTCCGCTAATCTTTCCTTGCTTTTGCAACTGTCTCAGTGCTTCTCGACATTTCTGGCGTCGCTCATCCAACTCGACCATCGTCCTCTTTCCCGTAATAATACTTTGACCTAGATTTTCCCATTCAGTCATATTATCAAGCATCTTTTTTGTCGTATCTAGTGAGAGGTTTTTCAACATCGCCTTTGCTGGTTCCTCCATTTCTTGAAAAAAGTGAGAAAAATCATATTTCTAAACCAATCTTTTTCACCTAACAATTTTATCACACAAATAAGTGAGCTGAATAGGAAACCATGGTCAACACATAATCTTATTTGTCGAGCAATTTTATTGCCAAATAAATTTATCTAACAACAGTTCTCCTTCCCAAGCAATATTAATTACGAAGTAATCCTACCTGACAAACAATCCCGGTCTCTAAACGACCTCTTACTCATAAACCATAGACCAGCAGTGTTTTCTTGCCACGAGCACATTTTGCGGTCGGCCATTCAGGCAACAAAGATTTGATATGATAAAATTTGTGATTCTGTGTATGTCGTGTGAAGATGTGACTGAGCTGAACTGTCATTGTAAGTATCAGAATGTCTAATGCGACTTCTGTATACTAGAAATTAATAGGACTTCATTTCAACCAATTCTGTTTGTTTTCAAACAAGAAAGACAAGAAAGAAATAAAATCTTAGTTCGTTCTTTTCCGATTGGGAAAGGTTCGGCATTTGCCTTCTGATTAAATATTGAATTTTATAAATTTTAACTTTTAAAGCTATTCGTCTGTGGACTGACGATGAGAGGAAGAGTGGAATAATGCGATAATGGAACATGAGGTAGAAAGAGAGCGCACTTTTGATTACCCTGTGTCAGCCATAGGTTAATAATATTAGTTTTTTATTTAAATCTGCCAATACGAATATAAAGTATTAATGGTGGACTATTAAAATTGATAAATAAATGAAATGATGGATAAATTGAAACAAATACTCAGGAGTGCCGGATGCTGAAGTTTGTACTGCATCAACGAAGGCTTGGCTTCCGGATGTACAAGATTGCGATGATGAAAGCGACAAATGCACACTGAAATTAAAACCTGATGTCGAAACACAGCTGGAAAAATTGTCTATATGGTTTGCTTGGAATGCAGCTAGTGGCATACGGTTTGTGAAAATCCTCTTTACTGATGGTACTTACGATACATTCGAACAGGTATATGATTTATCAGTTCAGAATTTTGGACATATGATAACCTTATCACATCCGGATTTTATACCAAGCAAAAAATTGGATATTTCATATTAAATTCTTTTTTTCAAAAAGTTTTCAGTTATGTTGCTAAAATTCATTATTTACATTGCCAAATATCCTTTCTCTTAAGTGTACTTTAGCAACACAAATAACTGCAAAAATTTACCAAAAAGCGAAACAATGGATTTGACACCATTGCAATCACTGATGGCTTTGATTAATTTTTTTAATTTTATCTTAGCTAATATTCTTTTTTATCCAGCTTTATGCGCATTGCGATCAACCATTAACCCTACGACTCACATCTCCAAAACGTGTCAAAGAGGTAAGTAGTACGTTTTACCACTCGAGAATCAAATCTTTTACTCTCTTTCACATTTTTCTGTGATTTAAATTCTAAATAATTATTTGGCGATATTATCGTATCTATCAAATATCTTAACTTCAGGTCCAAATTAGGACGAACAACCCATTTGTAAGTATTGATGCTGTACAGTTCGTTTCGTTTCCTTTAAATCCCTTGTGTTCGCATTGTTCGCCGTATCGTTACCGTATCTATCGTACACCACCATTTCCAGAAGGTTTCAAATCGACAACAAACTATCAAATAATTGATAGGTATTTTATCCAAATATTTATTTATAGTTAAGACAATTCATTTTCTGATGGAACTTCGAGTTCATTCGCAGTTGGATAGGAAATAGCAGAGGGATTCGCTCACTAAAGTTTATTCGCAGATGGAAAAAAGAGCTAGGAAATCTCACAAATTTACGATATGAACATTATTCGTTAATCTTAAATAAGCCAAGCTTTTGACTGTCTCCATTTAATTAAAAACTTTCTTCTGAAATTTAATTTATTAGCTAGAAAATATTTCGACTTGCCGTCTTTTCATTTCAGTACAGTTGAAGAGGGCATCACTTATACCTATTCAATAGCAGTAGAAAGTGGAGGAATTGAAGGGTTACACTCGCCGAGTACCACGTATTTTTATAATATGAATGTATGCAGTGATGGCAAACGAAGTACCGATGAGGAATGTGATGATGGAAATTTAAATGATGGCGATGGTTGTTCACAGAATTGTCTTGTTGAGGAGAAATTTCATTGTGTTGAAGAAAACAAATGTACCATCATTTTTTTTTTTGGAAAAACTTGAAGATTATGGGTCAAAGGTCTAGTCTTTGAGTTGAAATTTAATTAGTTAGAAATGAAAAGTTGGAAAATTTTCGAAAAAATAAAGTGAAAAACAAAATTCAACCCATTAAATTGCATGTGGAACTGGAATCGGTAAACATTTTAATCATCATACCATATCTACGGCAATGAAAACGATCATTTGATCAGTTTGCAAAAATATCGTGTGGTATTACGGTTAGAAAGAATGAGTGAGATAGTAGAATAAATAACTTTCTCCGGAATAAATCAAGTTGGCGGAGAACACTCAAAAGACCGAAAGATATCACAATTGAAAGTTGAGGAATAATCTTGGTTGTACCTTCCAGCATCTCCAAGTGTTTGTTATATTTACGAAGGAGATGGTGAATGTGAACCGTTTGAACGAGATGGATACAGTAGAGATTGCAAAAGTATTAGTGCATCAACGCCTCATTCACATTATTATCCAACTTCCGTTTATGTCTATTCGACAATATTGCAGAGGAATTGCTCATTACAATTGCTTTCCTCCGCTTCCTTAACTGAAGTAAGTGCTTTTTTAATCTTTGAAAGCTTTTCTTTAGTTTTCTGAAATGCGGACAGTTGGTAAGTTGGTTCATCTGGAATATATTAGAATGGCCAGTTATGATCTGATCTATGGAGTTAATGATCATTAGCAGTATTTTGATATATTATATATACTAAGTATTGTACCATTTTGAAGCAGATTTCAAAATGGACAGTATACAGTAATTCACAACTTTTGATTATTGGCAAGGTTAAAATATTATATTCAAAAGTATTGCAAACATCATCAGCTTGAACTGAAATGTTTTAAATGCTCACGTAATATTACTCAACTGATATAATCGAGCATAATTTAAACAGTTTATTGCTTCTCGTTACTTCTTACTGTTTCCAGGGCTGTAATATCAGATCATCTGGTTGGGGTGCGTGTTCACAACTTACGGAAACGGGAGAAGTTTCACTTTATGCTTCATTCCCAAGTGAAATCTTTCCCACTAGTGTCCTGATAGGCTTTGAGACAGTTCTGTCAATTGGATCAAAACCGGTTTTATCCATTATTAGAGTCAATTTGCAATATGTCAACAAAACGATGATAAGTTTGGAAGGTGCAATACCTTTTATATTATCTTTATCGTCATATATTTCAATCAAAACTTTGAGAAGAAAAGTTAAGTTTCCAAATTTCTAAGTCATGTCAGTGAGCAAGTGAAGAATATAACATTACGGATATAGATAGTTTGAAAAAAAAAATTGCTACCTTTAGCATGAAATCATTCATTCTCTTTTAAACTTTCAGCACTTTATCTTCAAATATCTTATTCAATCAAAACACTCACTTTGGTGAATGTAGTAATATTTGTTAGTAACGTTTTTTTTTTTTGTTTTGCACAGATGCTTTATTCAGAAAAAGGAATTCTGTCATGTGCCCAGAATCCTTTGGAAGTTGCGATACCGTACACACTTGTTGACCGATTGTCAAACGTGGAAGCTATTCATCTCTATATATCAAATCCATCTCAAATTGTTATCACTGCCATTGTTTTGCAATCATCAAGGATGTTCGACTTGTTGACTCTTCAGAGTTGTGCAGGTAGATGTGGTTAATGCTGTAGGGAATTTTTTGACATTCTCTTTCTCGTCCGTTCATTGGCTGTGGTCATTCTTTGTTGGAACAAAAACGGAAAAACAAAAAAACGGAGGAATATTCTACGGTATCAGTATCTGCAAATGTTAATCATCACCGATTATTTGATGTAAGCAGATCATTGTTTTCATTACAGCAGAAAACAAGTACTTCGATCCGGTGGGTGGTTTTTGTGTGACAAAAGATTGCCGATCACTGAGTACTGCTTCATGTACTCCATTAAATATCCCAAAATCACAGGTTAATGGGATTTTCTTCCGATTTTTTTTATGTGTTATTTTTTATATGTTTATGTGTTCGCACTTCCCCAAAGTATTGCTAATGCAGTGAATTCAAATATATCTTTTTCAGCGTGAGTGCCACGGTACAGTATGTACGTATACATGCAATGTCGGATTTATATTCGAGAATTCGCAAAAAACGGTAATAGTACAATGCTTAAATGGACAATGGATTGGAAATGTGAACTTGGCCTGCCAACCGATTCACTGTGCAATTCCGAAAATTGAGCATGCTGAGGTTGATTGTCCAAACGGGAGGAATTATCGTGATCGATGTACATTTCGGTGTGGAAATAATGCGATAATGATTGGTACTCAGTTCAAAACAGAGGATTGTAGAAATTCATCGTTTCTCTAACGATAAATTGTAATCAGCGCGAACTTCATAAAAATCATAAATTCCCAGACGATAGAGAAAAGTTACATCAAGATTTTCTTTCAGATAAATTTTTGACAATATATTTTTTATAGGACAAATAAATTATATCATTTGTGAAGAAAATGGTTTATGGACTGTACCAGAAGCATTTTGTCAGGTATACAAATTTTTAAAAGAATCTAGTCATTAAATGCAACGCCTCATCCGGTGATAATAAACTGTATGTGAGATAAACTTTTAATCTGCTTATTCTGTATCATTTCGTCTAATCTGTTTTGTGATCATGAATTCCAGATTGTTTGTCCACGTGAAGGATTATTAGCGCGTAATATTTCGTATGATTCAATCAATTGCAAAGTAAAACGAATTTATGACACGCATACTTTCTATCCCGTAAACACCATATGCAAACTAAATTGCCGCCGACAGTATCGTTCATCACAAATGCAATCATTACATACTAGGTAATCTTTGAATTAGAATCCTTTATACAGTTTTCTTGGCACCTTATATTGATAATATTTTTTTTTAATTGATGGAGTGAGTCATGTTTCTTACTGATATCATATAACTTCAACTTTATAAGTGATTTAAAGTAAGCTGAGATTTGCATTCATAATGGTAAAAGGAAATAGAATCATTGACGAGGGATTTTTTTTGCATAATTTTTCAAGTAGGATATTTCATGGTCATATTGTGTTAGTCTTTCAAAAGTAGAAAAATTACTTCTTCCGCAGGATTCGTTTGGTTTGTTCGAATGACGGTGTTTGGATTGGTCCAACGTGTATACCAATTACTTGTCCATCACTGAAAATGGTATATATCGCATCGTATAACTGTACAAATGGTTTTGAGATTGGTTCCAGTTGTCGGATCCAGTGTCCTGGAACAACTCAGGTTTATTTTTTTGTTTGCAAATTCATACTTCTCAAATTCTTTGAGACAAGTTAAAATTACGACAAAAATGAAATTGTTATCTAAAAAAAGGAATAACGTTTTAAATTTATAGGGATTCTAAAATATTAATTTACTTTACACCAGTTTGCAGCATAGGTACGCGGTATGTAAGAAGGATGGCACTTGGTCAAATCGCTTCCAGTGTCTATCACCACCAACAACTTGTCATTCACCACCGAGCATGCGAGATATTCTGTTTACATGTCCAAGAAGATTAAGCCCTGGTAAAAGAATTCCGTCACATAAATTTCAATACCTTTATTTAGCAGCAATCAGATCATTTTACGATTATTTTACCAAGCAAAATATCAGTATACAAGTCTAGTGAGGAAAGTCAACGGTTAACATCATAACCTTTCGATTTCCAGAAATACACTTGGCTTATTAGAAGTTCTACGATCAATCTTTATTAACGATTACTAAAAAGATTGGCTTTTCGAATGCTTGGAATGCTGATTGAAACTATGGTTTCAGGTATCATGTGTGCGGTACAGTGTCGTAAGAAAGGTTATGATGCAGTGCTAGAAGACATACAGTCCTTACAAAGCGGTGAAAATTTACTGGTACTTCGTGCGGTACATAATATATCATGCACCATTTCGTCAACATTTTATCCTCAAGTGGATTCTTTGAGTTGTGTACGTTCTTGTAATAGGGTATGCCTTCCTTCCATCTTTACGATTTATTCGGCGATCAGAAGTTTATCTTTTAGAAGTTTCCATAAATCATTTTTGGCAAAGGCGCATTTAGTTGTTGGTAATCTGAAATTTAATTCGCCAAACAAAGGATGTAAATTATGAGTCAGGATCGGATACATGTTCCTGAATCATAAAATCCTCACGAAAGTTTTTTTCATTAGCAGTTGGAGATTTTTCCCATAATAGGAATTCATGGGTGATGGTTGGTGTGATTTTCAAAACAATCGCGGTTATTGTGACTGGGATGGTGGTGACTGCTGCGCAAGTACAGTGCGTGGTGGACGTGTTCGTATGATGTTTCCCTCTCTATGTACTTCGATTCTTTGTCAATGTATTGATCCATTTGCCGCGGAGAACACGGCATCTAGCCTTGGTACCGATAGTCCCAGCAAGTATTCTTTTATCGTTCAGCTTTATATATTGATTGAACTTGCAGATTAATCTAGATTGAAGAGGAGTAAATTCAGGTGTTATTCTTTTGTTGGAATGGATGGATCTAAAATTTGAAAATAAAAGGAAATAGGAATAGGAAAGAATTTTAAGGAATATTTTATGTCTAAATAAGATGATCTTTTCAAAAAACTAGCTTAAGTCGTAAAAACTTTTCATAGGTTGAGAGGTTTTTCCGACTCCAATTCAACTGAAAGGCCGTAAAATATCATTATATTTGAGATTTTGCTTCTCATACATTCTTCAGCGTGTTACGTGAGCGTAAAAACACAATAAAACGTACAATTCGATACGGACAGCATCACCCGATCACTGAACCAATACTGCATGCAGTTGTTGGTGCTTCTCCAGATATGTTCACAATTTCGTTAGGAGATGCAGTTTTTCTTTCACAGAATGACATACAACTAGATCGAAATCGATATTCAAGTCAACATCGACAACATGACAATAAATCGAAAAGTATATCATTAAAAAGCGCCAAAGACTGGGAAACAATCGAACGATCTGTGAAAAATGCCTTGACGGTATACCAGCAGCAATTCAACAACAAAGTCTGATAGTGTTTAAATTTATTCACGAGCTTATTACTCATTATGTTTTATCAAGCTTTAGCTATATATTTGATGAGTTTAGAATGCTACTAAAAAATTTTATCGCATACATCATTTGTATAGAAATAAAGTTTCTACACACATCAATAAAATCTTGTTAATGAATAAGGCATTTCGTACATTTGTTTTAATCTATACGACGGGTTGGTGTGGAAAAAAACCTCAAATTATGAATGGAACATTGAACGAAATAATCTTAGAATAAAAAATGCTTCAAAAATTATCATAAAAATAGATAAATAAAATATATATGTTTCCTCGAAAGTGCACGAGAACTAATTCTAGATGTGAATTTTCAAGATGTTATGTAAGTTCTATCGTAAAAATAATTCCCTATTAAAATCGTTGGTCAAATGAATGCATTAAGTATGTCTACTGCAACACGGGAACATACTAATTATCATTAATATATAAATATGAACAATTAATACTATTCACATTACAATTTTCTTTTGCAAATGAATAAGTGTCCAATTTTGTATATGGAAAATAAAACGGGCCTGAAAACCACACGTTTCTGGAATCAGAAATTAGTGTAGATGTGACCTTCCAATGAATGTGGTAAAGTTGTGGATGGAAATAAAATCCTACGTATGAAGAGATAGTGAGTTATGCAAATTATATGGACAACTTCCGACAAAAAAAATCTATATCCGTTAATGAGGAGATAATGAATGAGCAGCATTAATTTGCCTGAAGTTATCGAACATTTCACAGATACAGACATAGTGATAGGCATGCAGTCGAGTTTTATCTCGGCTGACGGACATTCAATTGTCCCCTGCGGTCGCTTTACCTCTCCCATGTAATATGTAAAGATCAATGATTAGCAGCCGAAGTTTGGAATGACTACTTCCTCCAGTGTGAAATCATCCCAACACAAAGATCCGAACATTTTTTCATATTGAATAGCCGGTCACATTTCATTTCCAGAGGGGACAGAGAGGTGATGGTTTGATTTCAAGCCTGGCTTGAAGTTACTTAAGAAACAAGGTACTTCTAGGATGAGTCAGCAGATCCGAGAAAAAAGGTGATGGTATGATGATCGACTCGGAAGATGAGGAGTTGATGGAATTTCACTCCAGTGCAGGTACTATTGATTATGAGAATGATCGACCAGGATCTTCCATGTCGGACACCACCTCGTCAATACTTTGCCAAAGTTTGGGGAATTTCGATGGCAACAATAATGCTGAAGTGGAAGATACTGTGCTGCCTATTATTGATGTATGTCTCGTTTGTAAAAATTATTTGTGTATTCAACTTTCTACTTTTTCATCACATTTACTTTTTTTTCTCGTTTGGTGGACTTAGTTTTTTGATTTATAATTTTATAAATTTATTAGCAATATAGATTTCGAAGTTAATCTATACACTGCAACATTCCATATTGGGCTTGATATATGCTTAGATAGGAAATTCAACAGCAAATTAAATAAAGGTCGTGCCTTTACCGCAAAATGTGTATATGACTTTATCTATGACTTTATCTGATATAATGGAATAAAAATCCGAATCATTCTTACAGTTTGCAAGTCAATCAAGGCTGATGGCTAGGATACGCGATAATAAACCGAATCGGAAAGTTCCATCTCGTTGGGATGATGACAATGATGATGGCATTTTGACTAAGGATATGAACGATCCAAAAGAACAAGTGCTGACGGCAGCTGAAGATGGTAATTTGGAATCGCTTAAGGATTTGATTGGCAATAATCCATCACTGCTATCGGTTCGAATTTTATCCTGGTTTTGTAAAGAAAAATCTGTTGATTTCGCGGCAAGAGAAATAATATGTAAAAATAAATAAATTTTGAGATTCGATAAGAATTTTAATTGTATTTTTTTTCAACAGGCTCGCGATGCGGATGGGTATACGGCATTGCATCGAGCTGCATACAGTGGACATACCGATATTGTCGGATACCTGCTATCAATTGGAGCCAATCCGGAATGGAATACGAATGATGGTTGGACAGTATTACATTGCGCAGCAACATGGTCGATGTTCGAAGTTGTAGCGTTGTTACTTCGTCATGGCGTTGATGTTAACAGTCGGTCGCATGGCAATCTTACGCCATTACATCTTGCGATCACATCAAATCAGCCGGAGGATCGTGTCATTACAACGGTTCGCTATCTTCTCGAAGCACCAGGTCTTATTTTTTTATAAAGTACGTTTCTGTTAGCATTTGAAACAAAAAGTTTTCATTATGCATGAAAATTTAATCTCAGTCCTTGAAATCAATATGCACATATGCATGTACGCACTGGAAGGAAAGTGCTCCATATTAGGGTGACTACGTCACTGGAATGTCATTAGCTGGTGGTGAAATAATTTGTGAGAAACAGAAATAATTTACTTGAATATCTTGCATATCAATTTTATACTACTGTTTACATGTTGTAAAATATTGAAAGATTTTTTACGTCGTGAAAATGCCGAGTAAAATATGACTGATATTATAATGTATACTTTAGGTGCATTGTAAAGGAAACAAACAGAAAATATTCAGAAAGAAATTGTCTGCATTTATTGTGGCATTAAGAAATAACTTGGAGAGGAATTATGTTAGAGCGTTCTATCGATCAGCACGATTAAAAATCGAATCAAATTAAATTAAGACGGTTTGTTTAATTACGTTAATTTTAATCTATGTAACAAAATGGTTTTTTCAGGTATTGATGCTGCAGCAATATCGAATTGTGGTGATTCACCCTTACGCGTCGCAGGAAGGACGTCGGCCAAAATTACTGAAATGCTAATACGTTATTTCAGTAAACCTTAACAATTAAGTTTTACATCTAACGGGCTAAACATTCATTGATATCGCACGAGAAAAAGAAAAAAAAGGCATATATTTAGTTAAAAAACGCTTCATATCTTTTTTATCTTTTCTATTGTATTTTATGATTTCCAAACATTATCATCATGCAAGTTTATTTGGTCTTCAAGCTCCATTCATTCGAAATGCTGAATCTTTTAGAGACTTACAATTAATATTACACTGTATTGTCTGGTAGTTTGAATATTCTCGTATTCTGTAGATCAGCATTGCAAGGCACTAGGAATAACATAGAAACATTTGGTACGTCATTAATAATCATGAGAAGACAAGGTAATTTATTCTTGTTAACCTGGTCTTATGCGCTAATTGAAAGTATTTGACTGTTGAAATTCTGCAAATAATATCTGATCTGATGCACTTCCTGGTAATAATGCAATAGTTTTTCGAACGAGATTTACAATGTTATCAGTCTATCTTTTTAATTTACTAGTTGATTTGGCTGTCGTCAGGGCTTATCTGTACACAAAAACATACCGTGTATGATATAAATGACATATTTCGTGTTCCCTCTCCAGAAAAGAAAAAATGGGAATTTTTCATCTTATTTATATTGTGGGAAAATTTTTCATCTTATTTATACTTTGTTTTTTGTTATTTATTAAATGTCTATATTTAAGATTTTTTCCATTTATAATCGCGATTGTAATCGAAATCATTTATAGTGATATTAACCTATTTCGATAGCACTTCTTCAATCGATTATTTGATCCATCGTTTAGCCTTTGTTACTCGCAACGCCCTTACATTTCCACTGGAAAGATTTTCTCTTGCTTTCTTTGTTCACACTGCCATTCCTGTCTTATACTATTAAGAATGAATGATGCCGAAGAGTTACGACGTCGTTTGAAATCACGTACAGTTACTTTATACGTTAAATGATACAAAGATGCAATTAATCAGCAACGATGATGTAGAAGATTTATTCATGTACAATTTTGATTATTATAGTTTTTTTGTAAATCGTACTTAAATGTCAGTATATCATTGCATCCGTATTTTTGACAAATATTTTATTTTATGTCTTTTACATAAAAGAAAAAAATTTTTTAATTTTTATTCTGATTGAAGATGAAGTCACACATATTATATGAGATAATTAGATATTGTATTTTACATGTTTTGTTTTTTTTGTGTTCTGTTACCTTTTCGTTTCCTTGTTCAGCTGAAAATAAACATTTCTTTTAGTGAATCAATAATGTAGTATATTTGTAAATGCTGTTATAATATGTATATATAATATAAATGATGCCAGGAATATTTGACGCTTTTGGGATACAATAAATTGCGATTATCATTGTTGTTTGGATTATCATTAAGAACTGATTCAACTTAGTAGGATTGAATCGGAATTTCATACCGATGAGGGCCTTGAATTCGTCAGTTTAAGGATCCGTGACAGTGCTGGTGCGTGATAACGAAGGCTAATCTGATCATATGATAACTCCTAAATGTTGAATAATTTATCAACTCTCAGATGAATGGTGATGAGATGAATTGAGTTTTATACAAATTCAAGTGACGCTTTATTGCAGTATGACTTTAGTATTTGTATTGGTTGAAATAGCTTTCGTTTGCTGCTGATCCGCAAAGATTCCCACCTCAGATTGCGAAGCTTTATGAGGTTTTGTGTTTCATAGAATGAAGAGGATAATCAAGAAGTATCGAAGGAAAAACCAACCTGAGAAATGAATCAGGCGCTGCAATTGCATTATTTATCGTTTTACATCATGCATTAATTGATAAAGTTTAGTTTCAAGTTGTTGCTTGTTAATGTCCATCACCGGTGTACAGTGTCTATTATTGTTCATTCCAACTAACTGTATACTGACAGTTTGTGCATGAAATAAATTAATAATCATTATTGAAGATTTAAAACATTGAAGAGAAGAATGGACGAGTGATTAAGAACAAAAACTTGAACAATTTTTATGAAAGATAGATCGAAACAGTCAGGATTCGGAAAGATCCAGGATAATTTGGGCTTTTTAATTTTTAAGGAATGAAAACGGCTGAGAGGTGAGGTAAACATTTGATTACCGTTGGTTAAGTTTTGATTGTTCTCCAATAAAATCTTGTTTTTTGTTTAGTTTTTAACTAATATATAGTGAAACAAGCATGATAGTTGTGACAGCTGGGAATATGATTTTTATCAGATAATATACCTTGCTTCAATTCCTTAAATGGCGGAATGCATTGCTTTATCTTTGCTCTTTTAACTTAATCATATACTTGTCCGGTTTTAGAGGACTTCCAACTTCAATTTCTTTTCGAAATAGATATAAATCAATCTATCCATATTTACAGATTCTGAGAAGATCTAATTTTCATCAGAACATGCACCTAAAGATACGGGGTGCATATGAATGGGCCAATGTTGGTGGTGTTTTATACACGCTACTATTAATATTTGGCATCTATTTCCTGATATTGTTCTATACATGTCCAGCAACCTATCAGCCTGATCAGTGTGCTCGAGCGAATTGTTTCGCTATTGTTATTATTTTGGAATTACTCATCAATTTTCTTCTATTCATCATCTACAGCAGGTATTTGCTAATCAGTATCAAATTTCGGATTAATCGAGTTTAGGTATAGATACCGGTTTGGAATTCCGATATAGTAGCTGGTCTCGTACATGGGTTTTAGTATAATGGATTGAAGCCGATGATGTCGACCGTTAAATTAGTTCGACAGAGTTACCTTACAAATCAAATATATAAAATTAAATCTGATTTTTTACTTTTACCTAATAATGTGTTTGGATTTATAAATGTAATCTTTTTTAGACGTAATGATCCGCAACGTTGGCTCCAAGGTGTTGCAGTTTTGACAACCGTGAAAGGTGCTGGTAAATACTGTTTAGAATGTAATCGAATAGCACCACTTAGGAGTCATCATTGTAGGCTGTGTAATATGTGCGTTCTGAGGAAAGACCATCATTGCTTCGTGACTGGTGCTTGTGTTGGAATTGCTAATCAGGTTAGCTGAAGTGAAACAAACTTGTGGGGATATTTAAGAGTGAAAAGTGCTGAATTTAAAAAATATAAAGCACTCGTCACTCATTTTGTTCATCACGTAAGCAAGCTTTTTAGCTCTTATTGCATAACATGGAAAAGTTTGGTACAATCAAAATACAATTTGCTCAGTTACCCAAACAGAAATGCACTAATTAAATAAGTTTGTAAAATTCAAAGCGACATATAAGTTAAGTATTACTGTCTCAGATTGAACTTTATCATTATTGATGATCATTACTACCCTCAGCATCAACATCATTGCAAATTACGCTATGATCATTACTGTTCTCAGCATCAACAAAAAAATTAATTACAAATTATGCATTTTAATTTATACTTGGTTTATCTTTCCCAATTGGATAACTATTGTTGTTTCCTGAACTTTTCCATGAAAATTTGAATTATTTCAGCGTTTTTTCATCGTATTTGTTCTATGGGCAAGCATTGGTGCTGCTGTTGGATCGTTTTACATTCTGATGTATTTGTTGCAATATATGGAATCTAATATTTACCCCTTTGGTTGGTTAAAGCTTCTAGCACCAGTTGCCGTCATTCGATGGATTATTTCGTATGAAATATTCACCAACACAGCCATTTGCGTTCTCTTCAGCATATGCATAGCCACTTCTGTTGTTGCCAGTATATTTTTTGGTTTACAAGTAAGAATTTCGACTTTTCGACTCATTGTCTTGACTTCAATTTTCCTTTTGCTCTCTAGCTCATTTTCCGCATATGTACATGTTTTTTACATGTTGCGGAATGAATCTAAGATCTTTTGAATGTAATCCTATCAGTGTTGCTCATGACGTTTTTACTTGAACTAATTCAAATGGACTTCTAAAATTTTATTTGTAAATGTTAACAGCCTTGCACGATTTTAGATGTTTTATACATTAAATGGTTATACGATGTATGATTATCACACCTTAAGCAGAAAAATTGAATTACATGGTGATGGTGAAACTTATTCGGAAAGGTATAAATTTAATAAAAGTAGTTTTTGTTATCTTTTCTCCTTTGTTGTTTATACTTCTTTAATTTATTTCTTCTTTCATTTCAAGTAATCTAATCCTAAAATTGCACTGGATAGTTGTTAGATATATGCAGCTCAGATATACTTTTTTGATTCACCAAAGCTTTAATTATTCTATTTAAAAGGCAAAATCGGCAGTTATTGCTGTACTGTTGTTTTCTGCTCTTTATGTTGAATTAATCACCAGCGTTCTCAAGATAATTGTATAGATTTAATGAGTTCTGATAACGTACAGATTGTATTTCACATACCTCTGTGTCCTATAGGAAACTAAAGATTACTTTATTATTGCTTTCAGTTCCACATATGAAGATTTTTATTAGTTCCACATGTGAAGATAGCAGAAAGCAAAAAAATGGAATAGATTGATCATAAGCCCAAGAACGTGCACGGTCACGCTTGGTCCATTGGAATCTGTAATCTGTAACATAGGTTTAGTATTAGTTATATCGTGAAGTGGAAATGAACTATTAGGTGATACTGTTTAGAATATTGCATTCCATGGATGTTACTGTAATAAGCATTCCTCATGTTATTTGCCGTTTCTTCAATTAATGTTCACTATATCCTGTGATTGCTCTTTGACTCTCGACAGTGCAATTCCACATAATAGCATCAAATTATAATGATGACAGATGTGAGCAGTGTCGAATACTTTCCGTTGTCTGTTATTTTGAAACGTTTCGAAGTGTTCCAGGGCAATTTCCGTATTACATCTTGTTGCACTGCATTTGGTATTGTGCTACATAGAAAAAAATCAGTTTTGCAACAGTGTAATAAGAAAAGAGAATAAATGAAATTTGATATCGGGATTTGAGTTCTGCAAGAAATATTTGAACGAGTTTATAATGAGATTTTTGAGGAACTGATAAGAGAAAACGAAAGAATTATAAATTTGTTACTTTACATACTCTTCTTTCCAGGCTAAGGATGATATTTGGTCATTACTGGGCAGTAAATTTTATTATCCCATTGCTTTGTTTTCCAAATCAGTTGACCGCAGATGTTGCTCGGAATTTATTTTCATCTTATTCGAAAGATATGTGATAAGTCTCCCTTTCTATTTATGTCTACAATGTGCATCATAAATGCGTCCTTCACTTATGGCTCTCTGTTTTCTCATGTTAGTTTTCCAATTTATTTAGTATTATTGTAACTTGATGATATGGGAATCCAGGAGGAGAATCCCAAGACACTAATAATTCGCCTTACTACCGGATTGTAGCCTGTTTGTCCCATCCTTCATTACTGGATTTTCTAATGTTTGTTGATTTACCTCGCAAAATCTTAATGTGCTTCCGGCTTGAATAAATGTATTTCTATAACTTAATACGGTAAGGGATCTTGAAAATGGTAACCAGAATATTTGAAAAGTTGTCACAAGCAGATGAATTTATTTTTGAAAGATGCTCATACTTGGTCCCCGATGAAGGTAAAATCAATTTCAGTCGGGCTTCGAAAATAAAAAAATCACAAGAGTATCCATTTCAGATTGGCTTAGTCTTAATACACAAGGCTAACTACTAGTGCAATAATAACTGCAGTAATTAATCCATGGGTCTACTAATTTATTTGATGACGACAACAATTAAGACAATCTCCCGTACTCTGCGATCCCGTACTCTGTGATGTTTTACAATGTTTCCTACTGTTTCTGCAACCAGTCGAATTGTTTGTCATTATATTTATAACTCGTTCAAATCAGTTTTATCACTTGCAATGATGATTATTAATTTTCAATGACGTTTACAGCTTATTTTACAATAAAGGATTTTTGCAATAAAGAATCGATGCCAGTTCATTACAGTGTACAGGACTTGTTTGCATAACAATCAATTTTTGCAATAAAGAATCGAGGCCAGTTCATTTCAGTGTA